ATCGCACTTTTTCCCCCCAAATTTACCCCCAAATCGCCCTTTTCCCCCATTATTTACCCCCAAACCACACTTTTTCCTAAAATTTACCCCAAAATCGCAATTTTTCTACATAATTTACCCCAAAATTGCTCCTTTTCCCCACTATTGATCCCAAAATCGCCCTTTTTCCTCATTATTTTACTCAAAATCGCACATTTTTCACCCAAAATTGCACTTTTCCCACCAAATTTACCCCAAAATTTACCCCTTTTTTCCCAAATTTATCCCAAAATCGCACTTTTTCCCCCCAAATTTACCCCCAAATCGCCCTTTTCCCCCATTATTTACCCCCAAACCACACTTTTTCCTAAAATTTACCCCAAAATCGCAATTTTTCTACATAATTTACCCCAAAATTGCTCCTTTTCCCCACTATTGATCCCAAAATCGCCCTTTTTCCTCATTATTTGCCGCCAAAATGACCATTTTTCCCCACTATTTGCCCCAAAATCACCCTTTTTCCCCACTATTTACCGCAAAATCGCCCTCTTTCCCTATTTTTTACCCCCAAATCGCCCTTTTTCCCAAAAATTTACCCCAAAATCACACTTTTCCCCCAAATTTACCCCAAAACTGCCTTTTTTCCCCAAAATTTACCCCCAAATTGCATTTTTCCCCAAATTTTCCCCAAAATTGCCCCTTTTCCCCAAAATTTACTCCTAAATTGTCCTTTTTTCCCAAAATTTACCCCAAAATTGCACTTTTCCCCCATTATTTTCCCCAAAATCACACTTTTTCACCAAAATTTATCCTAAAATCGCCCTTTTCCCCCACTATTTATCCCAAAATTGCACTTTTTCCCCTTTACCCCAAAATTGCCTTTTTCCCCCAAAATTTATCCCAAAACCACTCTTTCCCTATTTTTTACCCCAAAATTGTCCTTTTTTCACCATTATTTACCCCAAAATCGCACTTTCCCCCCAAATTTACCCCAAAATCACACTTTTCCACCAAATTTACCTCAAAATCGCCTTTTTTCCCCAAAATTGCACTTTTTCCCCAAAAATTGCCCCCAAATTGCCCTTTTCCCCCATTATTTTCCCCAAAATGTCACTTTTTCCCAAAAAATTGCCCCCAAATTGCCATTTTCCCCCATTATTTTCCCCAAAATTGCACTTTTTCCCCATAAATTAACCCAAACCCACACTTTTTCCCAAAATTTACCCCAAATTCACACTTTTTCGCCTTAATTTACCCCCAAATTTTCGACATTTTCAAATTTTTCCGATTTTTTAAAATTTTTCCAAAATTCTTCAAAATGCTTCAAAAATGTCATTCTTCAAAATTTTCAGAATTTTTCAAAATTTTCAAAAATTTAAAATTTTTTCAAATTTTATAAAATTTTCCAAATTTTCCAATTTTTCATAATTCTTCAAAATTGTCAGCATTCTTCAAAATGTTCCAAAATGTTCCTTAATGTTCCAAAATTTTCCAGAATTTTCCAAATTTTACCAAATTTTTTCAAAATTTCTAAACTTTCCCAAAAATTTAAAATTTTTTAAAATTTTTAAAAATTTTCATTTTTTTCAAGACCTATCAAATTTTTGAGAAACCTGTCCAAATGGTCAAAATGTCCAAACGTTTCCATAATTTTCAAAAATTTTCCAAAATTTCAAAAATTTTCCAAAATTTTCAAAATTTTCCAAAATTTTCAAAATTTTCCAAAATTTTCAAAATTTTCCAAAATTTCTAAAATTTTCTAAATTTTTTAAATTTTTCTATAGTGCTTCAAAACGTTTCAAAACGGTCAGAACTCATCACATTTTCCATATTTTCCCAAAATTTTCGAAAATTTTGGGAAAATATGGAAAATGTGATGAGTTCTGACCGTTTTGAAACGTTTTGAAGCACTATAGAAAAATTTTAAAAATTTGGAAAATTTTCGAAATTTTGGATAATTTAGAAAATTTTAGAAATTTTGGAAAATTTTGAAAATTTTTGAAAATTATGGAAATTTCGAAAATTTTGGGAAAATATGGAAAATGTGATGAGTTCTGACCGTTTTGAAACGTTTTGAAGCACTATAGAAAAATTTTAAAAATTTGGAAAATTTTCGAAATTTTGGATAATTTAGAAAATTTTAGAAATTTTGGAAAATTTTGAAAATTTTTGAAAATTATGGAAATTTCGAAAATTTTGGGAAAATATGGAAAATGTGATGAGTTCTGACCGTTTTGAAACGTTTTGAAGCACTATAGAAAAATTTTAAAAATTTGGAAAATTTTCGAAATTTTGGATAATTTAGAAAATTTTAGAAATTTTGGAAAATTTTGAAAATTTTTGAAAATTATGGAAATTTCGAAAATTTTCCAAATTTTTAAAATTTTTCTATAGTGCTTCAAAACGTTTCAAAACGGCCAGAACTCACCACATTTTCCATATTTTCCCAAAATTTTCGAAATTTCCAAAATTTTCAAAAATTTTCAAAAATTTTCAAAATTTTCAAAATTTTTCAAAATTTCAAAATTTTCAAAATTGGTCGGAATTTTTTACTTTTTGCCCTTTTTTCCCTCCTTTAGGCCGCACGATGTACGCCGTGCCCTTCAGCATGGGCCCTCTGGGGTCGCCCCTGGCGCGCACGGGGCTGCAGCTCACCGACTCCCCCTACGTGGTGGCCTCCATGCGCATCATGACCCGCGTGGCCCCGCCCCGCGACCTCCCCGACCTCGCTTCCGGGGACTTCGTCCAATGCCTGCACTCTGTCGGCAGGCCCCTCCCCCTCACCGGTAAGCCCCGCCCCCTTCGGGACCACGCCCACATTTGACCCCCCCAACCACGCTCCCCCTTTACAGGCCCCATTAGAACCCATTAAACCCCCCTTAAACCACGCCCCCTCAGAGGCTTGGCCACGCCCCCTTGTGTCTCCT